CCCGGGCTTCCTGTCTGCCCCGAGGCCTCTGGACGGCTCTGTGAAGCTCCCTGCGGGCTGGCCCCGGCCCCTGGGCTGGCAGCGGTTCACTCGCTGTGCCGGGAAATAGTGCTGCTCGGAACACTCTCTTTCACTTTGGAAAAACACGTCCAGCGACTGTAAATTATACCTAACTCGACTCTATTTGTTAATGGAAATTTTACGGCTAAAGCGAGGCTTCTGCCAGCCGCTCTCAGCTTTGTCTCAGACAGGCGATGCCCGGGACGCCTGATGGCAGCGGATCCCAGGCCCCAGGGGCTGCGCCAGCGGAGGGGCGAACACTAGGCGCCCTCTGGCATCTCCCTGGGAGGGTCTGTCCTCAGAAGCATGGAGTATGTGATGCAACTGTGAGCAGATGGGGCTGAGAGCAACACCAGGACACAGAGAGCTGGGGGATGCGCATGTGTCCCCAGGGGGCTCCCACAGGCACCCCAACCTGCCAGCGTCCCCGGGGGGCTCCCGCAGGCACCCCAACCCAGCCAGCATCCCCAGGGAGGTCCCCGTGTGCGTCCTGCAGGGGTTCCCATGTGTGTCCCCGGGGTGGTCCCGCTGCGGCCGTGCCACCCCTCCCGGCCCCACCCTCTGATCTCCCCTGCTGACTGCTCAGGCCTCCTCTTGGCCCTCCTCCCCTCTCAGGGCCCCTCCCCCAGCCCGTCCCACACCAGAACCCCTGAACCCCGCCGTCCTGGGATGCTCCGGACCCCGCACACTCCCGGGTTGTCTGCTGGCCCTCCTCTGACCCCTCAGGGCGCCCTGACCTGTGTCCCGGGGTCAGGGGCCTGAGGACCCTTGTTTCCTGCAGGGGTCTCGACCCGACGCCCCCGCCCCCCCAGCCTGCACACCCTTCTCCAGCCTTGTCCCGGGGGCACCCCGTCACGGGCACTGAGGACTGTGTGGCCGTGTTGCCAGCCACCACGCTGTGGACGCCCCGTGATGAGAGCAGGTCAGTAAGCGGGGATGCAGCCCAGGGGAGCCAGGGGACGGGCTCCGCACCAGCCAGCCAGGAGCCCTGCAGGGCGATCCCAAGTTTTCATTAAAAGCACAGTCAGTGCCTGGCCCACTGAGCTGGCTTCTGAGGACACACTGGGAACACGCTGTGTTGCTGGCCTGGCTGAGGCGGCCGAATGCGCCCGAGCTGAGGTCAGTCCAGGTGCCGGAGGGGCTGCCGGAGGGGATATGCCTCCCACCCACCATACTGGCCTCAATGAACAGGTTCAGTTCAGATCAGTTCAGTCGCTCACTCGTGTCTGACTCTGTGACCCCATGGACTGCAGCACACCAGGCCTCCCTGTTTATCAACTCCCAGAGCTTACTGAAATTCATGTCCATCGAGTCAGTGATGCCATCCAACCATCTCATCCTCTGTTGTCCCCTTCTCCTCCTGCCTTCAATCTTTCCCAGCATCAGGGTCTATTCCAGTGAGTCAGCTCTTTGCATCAGGTGGCCAAAGAATTGGAGTTTCAGCTTCAGCATCAGTCCTTCCAATGATCACTCAGGACTGATTTCCTTTAGGATGGACTGGTTGGATCTCTTTGCCGTCCAAGGGACTCTCAAGAGTCTTCTCTAGCACCACAGTTCAAAAGCATCAGTTCTTTGGCACTCAGCTTCCTTTATGACCCAACTCTCACATACATACACGACTACTGAAAAAACCATAGCTTTGACTAGATGGACCTTGGTTGGCAAAGTAACGTCTCTGCTGTTTAGGTATGAATAGGCATTATCTTGGAATTAGATGAGAAGCAATGCAGTCACTGCAGCAGACACACCACCACGGGCTGACTGTACCCCCAGGGGCACCGGACCCCACGGCTTCTCTTGGAGCCAGCACAGCCCCCCGCCCGTGCTCGGGCTCACCTCCCGGCCCGCCCCGCGGTCCTCTCTGCAGATCCGGCCCGGGGCACGGCCATGTTGCCCGCCTACCTGGCCTCTCTTTCTTGCCTGAAGCTCTCACAGACTCCCCGGAAGCCGGGAGGCGGCCCCCCTTCCTGGGGACGGGACCCACATGGTGGGAGGGGACCTAAGAGGATGTGGTCTGAACAGCCTGCTCATCCTGGATAGTTCCACTCGCTGGGAAGAGCAGCGTTATTAACAGCGAGCTTCTCAAAGGAAAAGGGCAGTGACCAGAAGGAGGCTCACTATCCTCAGCGGTCTCTTGGCTGGGGCTCCGTCTGCTGTCCAGCCCATCTGAGGCCCTCCTCACAGGCCTGTGCGGCGCTGGCGTCTCCTGCCCCCCCAACTCGTTCATTTCAGCCTCAGGTTTTGTTTTCTTTTAAAACTCACAAGCAGACACGTTTACACTCCCCTGGCCCTCGAAGGAGGGTTTGTGACACACGGTCTTGCCCACGCCAGGCCCTGCTGGGTCGGGCCCCACACCAGACCCCCAAGGCCCAGCTGTGTGGGGGCTGCAGAAACGGGATGGCCTGGGGGGTAAGCTGTGGTCACTCGTCCCGGGCTGGAGATGTCCTCACGTGACACGTGGGGGGAGCCACACCTGACTCCACGTCCAGGGCAGGGCCCCGCCTGGGCTGGGAGGGAAGGTCACACCTGACTCCACGTCCAGGGCAGGGCCCCGCCTGGGCTGGGAGGGAAGGTCACACCTGACTCCACGTCCAGGGCAGGGCCCCGCCTGGGCTGGGAGGGAAGGTCACACCTGACTCCACGTCCAGGGCAGGGCCCCGCCTGGGCTGGGAGGGAAGGTCACACCTGACTCCACGTCCAGGGCAGGGCCCCGCCTGGGCTGGGAGGGAAGGTCACACCTGACTCCACGTCCAGGGCAGGGCCCCGCCTGGGCTGGGAGGGAAGGTCACACCTGACTCCACGTCCAGGGCAGGGCCCCGCCTGGGCTGGGAGGGAAGGTCACACCTGACTCCACGTCCAGGGCAGGGCCCCGCCTGGGCTGGGAGGGAAGGTCACACCTGACTCCACGTCCAGGGCAGGGCCCCGCCTGGGCTGGGAGGGAAGGTCACACCTGACTCCACGTCCAGGGCAGGGCCCCGCCTGGGCTGGGAGGGAAGGTCACACCTGACTCCACGTCCAGGGCAGGGCCCCGCCTGGGCTGGGAGGGAAGGTCACACCTGACTCCACGTCCAGGGCAGGGCCCCGCCTGGGCTGGGAGGGAAGGTCACACCTGACTCCACGTCCAGGGCAGGGCCCCGCCTGGGCTGGGAGGGAAGGTCACACCTGACTCCACGTCCAGGGCAGGGCCCCGCCTGGGCTGAGAGGGAAGGTCACACCTGACTCCACGTCCAGGGCAGGGCCCTGCCTGGGCTGAGAGGGAAGGTCACACCTGACTCCACGTCTAGGGCCGGGTGAGGGCCCCGCCTGGGCTGAGAGGGAAGGTCACACCTGACTCCACATCCAGGGCAGGGCCCTGCCTGGGCTGAGAGGGAAGGTCACACCTGACTCCACGTCTAGGGCCGGGTGAGGGCCCCGCCTGGCCTGAGTGTGGCTCTCTGTCCCCCCACCCAGGCCCTGGCGCACGGCCGCCTCTAGCCGCTGGCCACCAGGCAGGACAGTGCAGGCCTGAGCTGCCGGGACATGTGGGGCCCAAAGCAGGCCGAGACCGTCGGCGCTGTGACCTGCCCCCTCACACAGCCCCACGACAACCCCCACCCTCTGCCAGGCCTGGGCTGACTCTGGGGTTGGTGTGCCCCTGGGTGGAAGGCCTGAACGGGAGCCTCAGGCACTAGGCTGTGTTGTCTTTTTCTACGGCAGCGTGTGCACTACCGTTCAGATTTGTACTCAGTTTTGCCGTTCCAGTGAAGAGAGCTGTAAAAGGAAAGTAGATGTGCTGATGTTAGTGGTCAGCCAAGCAGAGGGCAGGAGGTACAATCCTGATTAGACACCCATGGGACTGAAACTCCAATGTGGAAAACACCAAAGATAAACAACGCTAAAAACACAGCATCAGGGTTTTTCTGTGAAAAGGGAGACGAGGTGACGGAAAGGGAACTCAGGGCTGAGGACAGACCCGGCCCCAGACCCACGGAGCCAGGGCTCCACCTGCAGGAAGCCTGGAGGCGGCGTCACGAGGGCTCCTCTGCGGCTGCTGTGTCTCCTCTGGTCCTGCCGCCCTCGCCCCTCGCCCCTGCTGCCGAGCCGTCCACCCTGGGACCGTCTGCCTGGCATGTGCCCACACTCCCCTTCTGGGGCGTCGTGCTCACCCTGCAGGTGCGTGCCCAGGTAGACAGGCACGGCGCCAACTGTGCCCTCAGGAGCATTTCTGACACCCGCACCGTGGAGGCCGGGCCCTGCTCGGCTCCCCGGGGTGGAAGGTCGCCTGCTCTCAGCCTGCTCGGCTGTGGGCCTGACCCAAGTGAGAGGACCTAGGGCTCTGGGGACAGGTCTCAGCTAATTGTGACTTGAGGACCGTAGTTCTTTCTTTCCAGCCCGCTGTGTGCCGAGCAGCATGGGGTGAGGAGGGCGCACCTGGCCCGCAGGAGGTCACACGCGAAGCCCATGGCTGGAGACAGACAAGCTGCGTGTGACGGGGCCCAGGGGCGGGTCCGACCCGGAGGCCACACCGCCAGCCACCGGCCTGGACCAGCCGGCCGCCTCCCCAAAGGCTGTCACAGTCCCCAGCAGGGAGGTGGGTGCTGGCTGCCGGTAAGAAGGTTCTACAGCATGAAGAGCAGACACGTCACACTGCTGCCCTGGAGAGCCCGAAAACCATTTATTCATTCATGTGGCCGAGTCGCTCTGTCAGGAAGAGGTGGACCGGCGCCACAGACACCCAGACGGGGGTGAGCCTGCTGTCATGCAGAGCCCCCCATGGACACCCAGACGGGAGGAGCCTGCTCTCACTCGTGCACAAGTCCCCCAAGGCTGGCAGGCCCTGCAGGGAGAGAGACAAGGTCACTGCGAGGGGCCACAGGGGCTCTCGGGGCCTGCGCTCTGGCTGCTCCCTGGGCCCCACTCACCTGGATGCTGCCTCTGCATCAGCCCCGAGATGCTGATGGGCTGCCTGGGTGCTGCTCCTCTGCCCGCCGCGGGCGCTGGGCTCTGCCTGGGCCACTCACAGGGCATCTGCAGGGCCGGGATCCTAGCAGCAAATTTGATAGATAAAATCACCAGTGCCTTTGGCCCCATGGCCACTCAAGGGCTGGCTGCTTCTCAGTTTCCAAGGGCACACGGCCAGCCTGGGGCCATGGGTCCAGGGGGAGCAGCCCCCACACAGCATCCGGCAGGCAGCCTCACCGGAGGCCCGCTGTGGGCTGTGGTGACCCTGGCAGGGCCCCGAGAACCGCTGCTCATTCCTAGGGCCCAGAGCATCCACACGGGGCCCCAGGGTCCTCTGTGCTGATGCTGAGATAGTTACAGTCAGGGGGCATGGAGCAAGAGGAGCTCCCTGGGGGGTCAGAGGGCACGGAACGGGGGATGGGCTGGCTGGCTGGAGGTCAGAGGGCACGGAATGGTGGTGGGGGGCTGTCTGCCTGGGGGCCAGAGGGCATGGAGCAGGGGGGCCTGCTGTCTGTGGGTCAGAGGGTGTGGAGCAGGGGGCTGGCTTCCTGGGGGTCACAGGGCATGGAGCTGGGGGCTGGTTCCCTGGGGGTCAGAAGGTGTGGAGTAGGGGGACCAACTCCCTGAGGGCAGACGGCCCGGAGCAGGGGGCTGGCTGGCTGGGGGTCAGAGGACACAGAGCAGACCCCTGACATGGAGTGGGATGAAGGTGGCCTCACGGAGGTTTGGGTTGCAGCCTGTGTTCAGGCAGGCAAGGGGGTGGCTTTGTCAGTCACAGGCAAGGGGCCAGGGGTCTGGACGGTACCAAATGGCAAAGTGAGACGGGAGCTGGGTGAGGGGTGAGAGGGAAGGAGGGGTCTGCTATCTGCAGAGATGGCCTGGGCTCCCAGGGCTGAAGAACCCCCGGGGGAGGCAGCCCATGCCTGGCACAGCTGCGCCTGCACGACGTGTCGCCGGGCTGGGTGCGCTGGGGCCTTGCCAGCTGGAGCCCTCGGGGCAGCGCCTGCAGAGTGGCCACCTGATGCCAGGAGACCCTGCCACCCCCGGGGTCCTGCAGCCAGGACGGCTCCTCCAGGGTTTTTGTGACAGTGACCCGTGTCACCTTTCAGCTTCAAGAACATGAAGCGGTGCCCAAGGCACAGCCTCTCTCAGAGCCTGGGACGGGCGGGGTCCAGGTGCCCCCAGAGGCCAAGGGTGGGACCTACCTGAGCGACTGGGGCTCGCTGGAGCATCGGGGCGTCAGGCCAAGGTGCTGAGGGCGGTGGGCGATGCTGCCTGCAGTGAGAGGTCAGGGGGGCTGTGCCCATCACCACCCCCACCCAGAACACCCCGTGCTCTGCTGTCTTCTCGCCGAGTAGGCAGCCTGATGCCACCGCCCCCCGCCCCACTGCCCCATTTGGGAAGGACGCCCCTGTGTGCGGCAGCTCTCGATCCACATCTGGACACCTGCCACCCCGAGGCCACTGGCAGGGAGGCCCTTCTGGCTCTGAGGAGGGCGGCAGCCACCGGCAACGCCAGGCGCCGGGACCGCTGTGTGGTCTCCACCCAAGCCACAGAGGCTTACCCTCTGACTCCTGCCATTGACCCCTCCCGGCCAGTGCAAAGCTTCTGTTAAAGATGTGAAAGGTCCCTGGTGTGCTTCAGCCACACCAGGGGGCAAGTATGGAAACACCGCTCTTTTGAATACCTGAATTCCTCTGCATCTCAGTTCTGGAGTTGCAACAGGAGGAAGCAGGAAAGAGGGGATGCCAGAGTTTAGCTGAGGTTCCCTTGTGTCCCCTCACGTACCCCTTCCACGACCAACCCACACCAGAGAGGGCGAGTGCTTCTCCCAACACTATGTGGCCAACGGGGGTCTCGTCTCTTTGCCTGGGGCAGTGTGGACTATGAAGACACAGCCCACAGCAGGTGACCGTGGGAGACCCCCAGAACGGCTGAGAGCCAGGATGAACCATCTTAACAGCTGTGTTCATCACGCCTGCTATATTTGGGGCTTTACAGGGTCTGACAACCTGGGGCCTCGATGACCCTGGAGGAATGGCCCCCCAAGTGGGCTGGCTCTCAGAGGTGGGCCCGCTGTGCCCAAGAGCTGTGTGCGCCTCTGACGTGAGAGCAGCCAGGCCGGGGCTGGCTCCTGTCTGTGGCGGCACTTGGCCCAGACAAGCGGGGCAGCCTTGCCACCTGCCGGCCTGCGCACCCCGCTGCCCCTCCAGGGCCAGCCCCCACCCTGGCTCTGGCCCAGGCCTGCGCCTGTGGCTCCCGAGCAGCCCTGCCTCCTGCTCCTGGGGACTGCGAGGCCGTCCTGCCCATGGCTCCCACCCTGCTGGCCTCCTGGAGAGAATCCTTTGTTCGGCGCTCACACACTCGAGCCCTGATGGCCAGCAGCAGCAGTTTCTCACCTGTGCTTTACAGGACTCTGGGGACGACTATCATTATCACCGCCGAGGACCCTGAGGCCCTAGGAGGTCAACAACTCACAGGCTGTGTGGGCAGCGGCGAGACCCCAGGAGCACAGGCGCCAGGCCCTCAGTTGGTGGTCTTTCAGGTCCTGCCTGAGAATCAGGGACCCTGAGGTCAAGGTCTCTGTCCTGAGGGTGGTGACCCCAGCGCTCAGGAAACCGAGGCAGCGGCAGGGCCGGGTGGCACGGATCTGTTGCAGACCCAGAGCTGCAGCCCGACTGGGAGCCAGTGACCAGCCAAGGACGCCCCCAGGTCAGGGCCAGGTTTCAGTTCAGGAAAGCATGGTAATTGAGGGCGTTTGGCAAGATTTCCTTTTGAAAAATTCAGATGGAGACCATGTTGACATGTAAAGAGGGTGAACTTCACTGCTGGGCGTGTGCGGTGCTCGTGCCCATGACACCAGGACGGGGGTCCTCTGGACAAGACCCTGGGTGCTGACAGCTGGGAGATCGAGACAGGCGAATGGCTGGCCTCGCGCACAGGCTCATGGGTGGGAACCGGCAAGGGGATCGAGCCACGGTCTCACAGCTTCAATTCTTCCAGGGGTGTTTGCCAAGAACTGACTTCCAGCTGCCACGGAGCTGAAATCTGCGAGGAGACTGGACCATTCCAGGACATCGCCAAGGCAGCTGACAGCCCCGCACCTGGACACCCACTGCCGCCCGGCGGGGTGGGGGCTCCCTCAGCTGGGCCGAGAGAGGGTGGCTGGGAACCTGTGGCTTTGCGTCCCAGGACGTGAGGAGGAGGAAAGGGCACAGCGCTGTGGCCAGCACGCAGACCCAGACCAGCCACGGCCATCCTGGGGGAGCGGGGTGAGGCCCCAGGACTCACACCATTTTGAAAAGTCCTCCAAAATGAGCAAAGGGCAGAGAGCCCTCAGCTAGGAGAATGTTTCCTCACACGCGGGGACGCGGGGACACGAGCACAGGGTTGATGGCGACTCCTGGTCAGAAACAAGGGGCCAGACAGCAGGACGACCCTGCAAGGCGCCAGTCAACCGAGAATCTACCCAGTGAACTCACCCTCAAATGAAGACAACGTTGTTCAAAGGTGGCCAAAAACCAGGAGAGCTCACTGCTGGCCAAGCTGCCCCACAATGAAACAGTGCTTGGGTCGGGTAAGAGTGACCGCCGACAGGCACGCAGCTCTGGGAGGTAGGAGGCGGGTGCAGATGCCTGTGAAGAGGGCTTGAGTCCTCCTGCCTCTAAGACAGTGAGCATCTCTAAAGGAAGCAGGAGAGCCGGACTGTGGGCTCTTGTCATCCACAGCTCCACGTCAACAGAGCTTCAGACGGGGAAAGCCACTTGATCAGAACTCAGTCGGGCGGCAACAGAGGCTACGGCTCCCCAGGCACGAGAACCACGGGACAGCGTCCCTCGGTTGGCTTGGCTCCGCACCACCCCCGCAGGCTCAGCTTCAGCCACCTCCATCTCTGTTTCCCAGAGTCCCGAGGCGGGCGTCACAGAGCAAGGCACAGGCAGATCTGAGTCCTGGTGATCGGGTGGATCCGGGGTCCCGCCTGCCGACATGCCTTCAGGCTATGTCCTCACGTGACCTTTCCCTGAGTGTGCATATCCCGATGACATGGATCCAACAGGATCAGGTCCCACCTTCAGGGCTGCACTGACCTCCTGAAAACCCCAGCTCCAAACACAGCCACAGCTTTAAGGGGACACAGTCCACAGCAAATGGCGCACTAAGAGTGGTGAATGCAAAAGGAGGCAGCTAAGGAGATCCGGATGAACACGGAACCCCACACGGCAGACAGAACGCAGCACAGAGGCAGACATTCAGGCCAAACCCGTTAACAGCGGTGCCGACCCAGTGGACTGAATGCTCTACCCAGACGTGGAGATCACGAGCGTGACCCAACCACGCGTGTCCACGGGACACACACTTTAGGTCCAAAGGTGCAGATGGGTGAGAGCAAAGGACAAAAAGATGCCTTGTGCATACTGTACCCAATCCGAAATTCAATGAGGAAAATTCCACTACAAATAACTCACTCCTAAGGTTCCAGTTTACAAAAAAAGCATAAGACTCGTACTCTGAAAATGACAATTCTTCAGGTCACTTAGGAACCAGTAAGTGGACAGATCTGTCAGGTCTCATTTAGAGGGCAACCCCCCCAAACCATTAGCTCAGGTAGAATCTAATCAGTGGATCTTAGGATTCATGTGGAAATGCACTGCACTTGTTGTTCAGTCACTAAGTCGTGTCCAACTCTTTGTGACCTCATGGACTGCAGCACGCCAGGCTTCCCTGTCCTCCACTGTCTCCCACAGTTTGCTCAGATTCACATCCACTGAGTCGGTGATACCATTCAACCATCTCATCCTCAGTCATTTCCTTCTCTTCCTGCCTTCAATCTTCTTCAGCATCAGAGTCTTTTCCAATGAGTCAGCTCTTTGCATCAGGTAACCAAAGTATTGGAGATTCAGCATCAGTCCTTCCAGTGAATATTCAGGGTTGATTTCCTTTAGGATTAACTGGTTTGATCTTGCAGTCCAAGGGACTCTCAAGAGTCTTCTCCAACACCACGGTTGGAAAGCATCGATTCTTGGGTGCTCAGCCTTCTTTATGGTCCAACTCCCGCATCTCTACATGACTACTAGTAAAACCACAGCTTTGACTATACAGACCTTTGTCAGCAAAGTAATGTCTCTTGCTTTTTAATAGGTTGTCTAGCTCTGCCATATCTTTCCCTCTAAGGGGGCTTCCCTGATAGCTCAGTTGGTAAAGACTCCACCTGCAATGCAGGAGACCCTGGTTTGATTCCTGAAGATCCCCTGGAGAAGGGACAGGTTGTCCACTCCAGTATTCTTGGGCTTCTGTTATGGCTCAGCTGGTCAAGAATCTGCCTGCAATGTGGGAGACCTGGGTTTGATCCCTGGGTTGGGAAGATCCCCCTGAAGAAGGGAAAGGCTACCCACTCCAGTATTCTGGCCTGGAGAATTCCATGGATTCATGGGGTTGCAAAGAGTCAGCCACGACTGAGCGACTTTCACTTTCCCTTTCCTTCCGAGGAGCATCTTTTAATGTCACGGTTGTAGTTACCATCTGCAGTGAATTTGGAGCCCAACAAAATAATATCTGCCACTGTTTTCATTGCTTCTCCATCTATTTGCCATGACATAATGGGACCAGATGCCATGATCTTTGTGTTTTGAATGTTGAGTTAAGCTAGGTTTTTCACTCTCCTCATTCACCCTCACCAATAGGCTCTTTAGTTTCTCTTCACTTTCTGCCATTCAGTTCAGTTGCTCAGTCATGTCGGAATCTTTGCAACCCCATGAACCACAGCATGCCAGGCCTCCCTGTCCATCACCAACTCCTGGAGTCCACCCAAACCCATGTCCATTGAGTTGATGATGCCATCCAACCATCTCATCCTCTGTCGTCCCCTTCTCCTCCTGCCTTCAATCTTTCCCAACATCAGGGTCTCTTCAAATGAGACAGCCCTTCACATCAGGTGACCAAAGTATTAGAGTTTCAGCTTCAACATCAGTCCTACCAATGAACACCCAGGACTGATCTCCTTGCAGTTCAAGGGACTCTCAAGAGTCTTCTCCAACACCACAGTACAAAAGCATCAATTTTTCGGCACTCAGCTTTCTTTATAGTCCAACTCTCACATCCATATATGACCACTGGAAAAACCATAGCCTTGACTAGACAGACCTCTGTTGACAAAGTAATGTCTGTGCTTTTCAAAATGCTTTCTAGGTTGGTCATAACTTTCCTTCCAAGGAATAAGCGTCTTTTAATTTCATGGCTGCAGTCACCATCTGCAGTGATTTTGGAGCCCCCAAAAATAAAGTCTGACACTGTTTCCACTGTTTCCCCATCTATTTGCCATGNGACCTTTTCTAGTCCTGTGGCCACTGCTGAGTTTTCCAAATTTGCTGGCATATTGAGTGCAGCACTTTCACAGCATCATCTTCCAGGATTTGAAATAGCTCAACTGGAATTCCATCACCTCCACTAGCTTTGTTTGTAGTGATACTTCCTAAGGCCCACTTGACTTCACATTCTAGGATGTCTGGATCTAGGTGAGTGATCACACCATCGTGATTATCTGGGTCATGAAGATCTTTTTTGTAGTTCTTCTGTGTCTTCTTGCCACCTCTTCTTAATATCTTCTGCTTCTGTTAGGTCCCTACCATTTCTGTCCTTTATTAAGCCCATCTTTGCATGAAATGTTCCCTCAGTATCTCTAATTTTCTTGAAGAGATCTCTAGTCTTTCCCATTCTGTTTTCCTCTATTTCCTTGCACTGATCACTGAGGAAGGCTTCATCTCTCCTTGCTATTCTTTGGAATTCTGCATTCAAATGGGTATATCTTTCCTTTTCTCCTTTGCTTTTTGCTTCCCTTCTTTTCACAGCTATTTGTAAGGCCTCCTCAGCCAGCCATTTTGCTTTTTTGCATTTCTTTTTCTTGGTGATGGTCTTGATTCCTGTCTGCTGTACAGTGTCACAAACCTCCATTCACAGTTCATCAGGCACTCTATCAGGTCTAGTCCCTTAAATCTATTTCTCACTTCCACTCTATAGTCATTATAGTTCTGCCATTGTGGTGGCATATCTAAGGTTATTGCTCTTTCTCCCCGCAATCTTGATTTCAGCTTGTGCTTCATCCAGCCTGGCATTTCACATGATGTACTCTGCATACAAGTTAAATAAGCAGAGTAACAATATACAGCCTTGATGTACTCCTTTCCCAATGTTGAGCCAGTCCATTGTTTTATGTCCAGTTCTAACTGTTGCTTCTTGACTTGCATATAGGTTTCTCAGGAGACAAGTAAGGTGGTCTGGCATTCCCATCTTTTGAACAATTTTCAAGAGATTCTGTGGAGCACAGTTTGTTGTGACCCACACAGTCAAAGGCTTTGTGTTTTTCCTTTGATCTATAAGGTAGTTATAATTGTGTTAATTTTCAAATATTTGTTTTATTCCCAGATTTTTTTTCCTGTTGCTGATTTCCAACTTAATTCCACTTTGGCCCCAAAATACCCTCTGTGTAAACAGTCCTTCCTAAGTGTCAGGGCCTGTCTCACGCCTCAGTGCAATGTCCTCTCCACAGAACGTTTCAACTGACCTTGGAAAGCCTCCCTCTGCTCCCCCACCACTGCTGGGGGCACAGTGTTTATCAGGTAAGTGGTCACTTACCTTACTATCGCTTGTCTAGTAGCTGCATCAATTACTAACAGTGAATGTCCAAATAAGTGCTGAAGGAATGATTACTTTAAAAATTCTGTGGTTTTGGCCCCATGTGCTTGGGGGGCGTCTGTGTGGGGTGTCTGATAAATGGACCTGAGCTGTGCAGAAGAGCCTCTGCCCGCTGGGCGCACAGCCGCCTGCTAGGGTAACGATGCTGCACTGGCTCCCGACCCGCTGCTCGCTGAGGTACCTGTGTTGTGTCTCAGCCTGTGTGCACCTCCAGGCGCGAGGCAGGTCCCCCGCAGACAGTGCACAGCAGGCAGAGGTCCCTGCCCTAGCGGGCACTCACACCAGACGCTGTTCCAGGCCGATGCCGCGTGTCCACTCCACTGCTTGCTTCCGCCTCTGAGTGGGAGCGTGCGCCCAGAACGCACTCGGTTCGCCCCGCCGCCCGTCAGCCTCTGCTCCGGGCGCCTGCGCGCAGTCAGGTGCGCACGCCATCGTGAGCCTCGCGTCCTGTCACCGGGAGGCTCCCCCGCTCCTGGCTGGTTTCTCGGGCATCATCTGGCGTGGGGTCACTCCTCTCACCCTGACGTGTCTGCACTGCCGCTGGAACGCGTCTCAGGGGTGGGGTTACGTCTTCCCTGGCAGGCCTGCTGCTCAGCACGAGCTGGGAGGGGCTGGCGCGCGCCCGCTCCTGCCGACTTGCTGTCTGCTCTCTGCGCCTCGGTGCTCCCCTGTGTTGCCTTCTAAATGGTTTTTAATGGAACTGCTTCCATTCCTCCAGATTTAAAATGGTTCTTTCCTTTTTTGCTTTTTAAAAATGAAGTACAGTTTACTCTCAATGTTGTCTAGTTGTAACGTACAGCTATGTGTTCCAGTTACACATTTATCTATCCTTTTCCATTATGGGCTCTTACGATATTGACAGAACGGAGAGGCAACAAGGTCCTGCTGGATAGCAGGGGTACTGCGGTCACTCTCCACCAGACCCCGGGCTCCTAAGGGGAAGGTGCTCCTAGCAGCGGGTTCGGTGCCTTGGGCCTGCAGACACTGGTATGAGACCAATCCGTGCAAGGCCATGCCAAGGTGGGGGCCTGGAAGGCCCAGTGCCCAGGAGGAAGGCCGCCTCCATCACCAACGGGATGGGCCAGCAGGAAGCAGGCGGTGCCTGAGGACGCCGGAGCGGAGGTTTCACAGGGGCTGAGAGGTGCTGCATCCATGGAGCAAGCAGTTGGAGCCCTGATTGGTGGACACGCCAGCTGCACAGGAGGATGGAGGTGGGCAGGAGGCGAGGAAGCACCTGGGAGCGACTGACGGCCTGAGATCCCAGGAGAGCAAGGGCAGGGAGACAGAAAGGCACAGGCCTGACCTGCACCCATGGTTTCCATCTGAGGCTGGGCAGAAGGAAATCAAGCCCCAACCAGGTGCTCAAATTCCAGGGCGGCACCAACAGGCCCTGGAAGAGGCGGCGCAGAATACCTACACCTCAGGGGTGATGCTCAGGACCTTGGCCTCAGCGAGAGAGGACAGGAAGTCAAGGGCAGAGACGCGGCAGCAGCGGTGAGAGAAAGCCAAGGTGCTGAGGGTAGAGAGGAGTCAGCACGTGGCTCACGCATGTGTGTTTCCATGACGCCGCCGCCCAGGGAACTTCCGGGAGGGACTTGGGGGGGACGGCGTGAGCCTGAGCCTGGGCCTGGTGCTCAAGCTGACTCAGGGGAGGGCCGGGCGCTCACCCAGCGGCCACGCTAGCAGCAGCCAGGAGGCACAGCGGCACTAGGACTCCTGTGCACAGCCCGGAGACAGGACAGGACACCAGGGCCAGCGGCCCCTGCATCGCCTCAGGTGGGCCTGCAGGAGTGGCTCACTTTGGGGGAAGGGGAGGCCCTGCAGCGTGTGCAGTCTGGGCGAGGCGAGGCGTCTCCACTTACCCATGCGTCCATCCCGAGGTGGGCTGAGCAGGGAGATCCTCGGTGGGCCAGCGATGACCTCAGGCTGCATTGTAAAGAGAGAACGACCGCTGATGCTCCAGACTGGCTCAGGAGCAGAGATTGTCCCTGTTTGCTAAGAACACAGATCCTCAGTCGCATCTATCTGATACACTGCTGGTGTTGTGTGCGGGAACACGGCTGTTGGTGACTTTGCGCCTGCCGCCCCAGGGGGCCCAGGTGGTGAGTGAATGAAGGTTCCACTGGTGACTTTAAGGATCTCACAAGAAGAAAAGTAAACGAAGTTCTTGGCTGACATGAGGAGTTCGAAAATCCTGAGTAATCCTCACTTTGGGAGCGTCTCGTCACCTAGAAATCCAGATGCTGACAGACACTGGCAGGCGGCGGCGAGGGCAGGCGTGCTCCGCAGTGTGCATATGCCAGGCGGGGCCCCACCCCACCCCGCTGTCCCGAGCCCGCCGCTAACTGCGCGGTGGGGCCTGGTAGGGGGCACACGCCCCATGGGGGCCAGGAGCCTGGGCCTGGCACTACTGCTGCTGCCCACTGGCCAGCACGCCCCATGCCCTCACTGCGCCCTCGCCCCGCTCCCAGGCCTGGCAGCACAGCGCTCCCTTGCTCCTCCGTCGCGCGGTGAGCGCCAGCTCTGTGGCAGTCTCGGCCTACGGCCCCCTCTGCCGACGCCTCCACCCCAGCCTCGCCGCTGCTGCAGGACGACAGCCTCAGAGGGACCCCCAGCACTCTGCAAGCGCGGCTGCGCTGCCCAGCAACCTGGTGTCCACCCACGGGAGCAGCTCCCTGCCTCTGGGCTCCAGGCCCTGCCCACTCAGCGCAGGCTGACACCTCGCAGAGCCTGCGGGGATGGCCGGGCTGGCTCTGCACGCCGAGGCGGCGTGACTGCGTGTGAGCAGGCCCCACCTCAGCCTTCCTTCGGCCGCTGTGCTCAGAGCCCCTCCGGCTTGGCCCCCCTCCCAGGCCCCCTCTGGCCCCCCGCTCCTCCCCCACCCCCAGCGCATCCCACACTTGGCGCCCCGTGCCCAGCAGAGGCCAGCCTGAGGAGCCAGCCACAGCGTGGGGACAGAGCGCTGCCAGGCAGAGCCGTCTCTCCTCACAGGCCGAGCCCCCTGTTTGCAGGAGGGCCTATGCCAGCACACAGGAAGACTATGCAGGCGCAGGGCATCCAGTGGGCACTGCCGCTGCCCCGGCTGGAGGGGGCGTGAGTGCAGCAGCTCCAGGAACTGAGGCGTCACGAGGCCACCGGGCCAGGGAGAGAGGGGGCTCCCCCGCCCGTGACCGCACCCCAGCCTCCCCCCAGGCCTCTCCTCGGAGCCTCCTGGCGACCAGCCACCTCTGCATGTGTGCCGTGGGACAGCTATCCACGCCGGGAAGGACCATCTGTGCAAAGTGCCTGGGACCACACATGTGATGTCGGTGCACTCACCTTTCTCCTTGGAGAGGGCGTGAGGTCAACTTCCATGGACTCGACCCTGTTACACAGGCAGCGAGACGGTCACGGCCTGACTGCATGGAAGTAACAGAAACACGCACGCATGCACGCACACATGCACACGCACACACATGCATGCATGCACGCGCACGCACGCAAACGTGCACACACAAGGCCCTGCGGGCCTCCTCCCTACAGTTGCTCAGCACTCCCAGAGCGCAGTGATCACAGCCCCGCCAAGGCCAGCAAGGCCTGTAAAGCAGACACACCTGCCCGACACAGACGCGCCCACCGACACAGACGCGCCCACCGTGTGACTGGAACGGCCTCCCGTCTCCTGCCCCCCATCCGCCCCTGGAAGGTCCACTCTCAGCTCCTCCTCGCCACCTGCCCCGTCACTGGGCTGCTCCACCTCCTGCCGGATGTCCAGGGCGGGACCCCACCTCTGTCCACCCTACCGCCTGGCCCACGTGGTTTACACACGCAGTGCTCATCCACATGAGCTCCCTAGTTAACCTGCTCCAGGCTGGTGGGGATGGGACCAGGCCTTCCTGCAGGTGCACAGAGCAGCTGGGAGGAGGGCCTTGCTCCCTAGTTTCTGAAGAGCTGGGGACGGGGGTGTGGCCTGCCAGGCACGGCCAGAGCACCCCCATCAGCCTTGCTGCCCACGGGCCCAACTGCAACTTTCCAAGAAAGACACTCCACCAGGGGTCTAGGTTCCAGAGGCTGCCACCGGCCCACCGCTCTCATCCCAGTCAAAGGAAGGGCCCAGCCTGGTCACGTGGCCACCCCACCCACCCCTCTGGCTGGGGATGGGAGTAAGGGGCAAGCGGCAGAGGTGGGGGGGGGGGGGCGGGCAGGCGGGGGGGCCCAGGGCCTGCGCTGGGGACGGGGACTAAGGGCGCAGACCTTTCAGAGGCTGATGAGTCACGGGACTGGAACAGAGGTCCGTTTGGCCTTGCTGAAGGCGCTGTGACGAGAAAGCACAGACCACTGTGCTGGAGCTATAGGCACACCCAGCACCTGCACCCCCCACCCCTTCCAGGCATCACTTCACTTACTGGAAGCTGGAGTTTTTACTGTGCTGAAAACTGCTTGTTGTGACCTCACCCTAAATAAATGGAGGAAAGGCATTAATTGAGTCGCAAACATTTACATCCAGGTAATTCCTTCCAACGTGAAGTAAGGAAAACAGAAACGACCCATTTCTCCATGACATGCCTTGGCCCCTCCTCACCTCGGGAACCTGCACAGGCCTGGTCCACCCCAGAGGGGCTCCCCTGAGTCCCCAGAACCCACAGCAGGCAGCGCCAAGAACACAGCGGGCGCTCCCTCAAAGTCTGCTGAGCAGGACCGGCTGCTGGGCCCAGCTCCCAAAGGGCATTTGTGCCTACTTCCAGGTGACCTCGTGAAACAAGTCTGGTGCTACTGTGTGGGGTGGACAAGCGTCCACGGTCCCCGAGACAGAGCCAGAAGCAGAGACACCACCAGGGCAGGGAGGGGAAACCTGGGTATGCGTGATCTGGGGCGAGGGTGCCAGCTGCGGGGTTCCCCCTGGAGGGAGACCGCAAGCCACACCAGTGCAAGTGGAGTGGAGTGGCCAGCGAGGGGGCCTGGCCCAGAAACCACCACCCCAGAAACACCCCACCTAGAGACCAAGGAAAACAGTCAGACTTGAACCTGGAGACACAAAGCGCTGTGAGCCTTCCCACCCGCCGCGTGCCCTCCCCCCCGCTGTACGCCCCCAGGACTCGCCTCTGCAGCTGCTCCACCCGCAGCGTCGACTTCCTGAGAGACCCCTCCAACTGAGAGACCTAGACACGGCCAAACGACTTCCCGTTACCACACAGGCCGGGTGACAGTTTAGAGGAGACAAGTGAATCCTCAAGTTCTTAAACCCAGGAATCAATGCAAGTGATGCGGCCACAGCCCTCGCACTTTTTGTGAGAGTTTGTACCAAGTCCAGGTCACCAGGTGTGTCGGAAACGGGCTCCAGGAATCTCTCCAGGAAGTGTGAAGCCCAGCCCAGCACCGCCGCGCCTCACGGGGCACCCTTTGGGCAGAGTACCCTCCGGCCAGAGCACCCTCCCCGCCCACCAAGCGCCCCCTTGACGCCTGCCCCTTGCTCCTCTCAACCCACACGGCCCAAAAGGAGGCTTCAACCCAAGTCAAGCTGAAGCTCCACATTTGTTTTCACTAAAGCTTTATTTTCCTTCTTTTGAGTTTCAAAACCAAGTGAGGAGGATGCTTTGGGGATAAGCAAATGGGCACTAAACCTCCTTTTGTGAAGATCAGCCAGAGCTACTTTATGCTCACATTCATGGAAAAGTACCACATAGACCGTGGGGTGACTGCGGGTCTGTACTGATGTCCAAGGTGGAAGCGAGACCACAGCTGGGTCTCCAGGCGGCTGCGTGGCTGACCTCAGAGAGGCACCGCGCAGCGGGCTGAGCGTCTGCAGCAGACACCGCCCAGCAGCCCGTGCCAGGAGGGGATGATGCAGACACCTTGCTCCCTGCGGCCCGCCAACTGGAGTTACCTTTTCTCCGTAGAAGGCTAACAGTCTCCTCCTGTGCTTTTCTTGAAATTCTGAGATCTGAGAAGACAACACACATCAGCTGCTGCAGAGGCTGAGGCCGGGGGCTTCCCGAAGCCCCTGGCTCCTCCCCAGGCATGGCCCCCCTGCTGCCCAGCAGCCAGAGCAGATATGGGCAGACCCCGGGCTCAGTGGACAGCCCTGGCCAGGTGAGCTCCACCCAGAGGTGCTGAGCACCACGGGTTTCACGTGCAGATCACGTGGGCGCGACGGCTGCTCTGCCCCCTTCCACGTGGCTCCAGGGGCACTCAGGACACAGGACAGGACACGACCCACACGGGCCAATCACCACGCGCTATCCCTCAGGGAGCAGCCGCTGGATCTCAGGAGCCCCCCACCAGGACTTCGCTGGGCAGGGACACCACCAGGCAGGCTGGCAGGGCCACACTGCTCTGGGAGCCCAGTCAAGGCCAGCAGTGCCTGAAACCAGCACCATCCTTGGTCTCCAATCATGAGCCCCAACCTCCATGTCTATGGAGCAGAGCCTGGACTGTTCCTGGAGGTGCTGACGGATGTTACGGGAGAATGACTGACTCACTTCTGGGAAGGGAGAGCTGTTCATTTACGTATTTATCTGGCTGTGCCGAGTCCTGGCTGTGGCACGCAAGGTTTCCCATCTTCTTCACAGGATGCAGAATCTGCAGTGACAGCACACGGGATCTAGTTCCCTGACCAGGGATTGAACCTGGGCCCTTGCACTGGGACCGCAGAGTTTTAGCCACTGGACCACCAGGGAAGGCCTCAGAGAGAGCTATTCTGAAACCTTGGGGTTTTCAGATGACACTCACCCTCCTGAAACACTGAACTGAACTGTTTAGGCCTAATTCTTGTCACCTGTGCACAGCTGAGAGACAGCGGAGACGTACTGAGTAAGCTGGTTGAGGCCTCTATCATGTAAACGCTCCCCCAGTCACTCGCTGCCCCCAGGCATGCAGACGGCAGGGCATGCTCCCAGGGCTCACGGGTCTGGTCCAATGGAGGGAAGAAGTCCTTCTGTGCAAAGGAGGCTGGCTGTCTCAGGGCAGGGGGAACCACAGGTGGAGGGCAAACACCCTCCCAGAGCCCCTGCCATCTGGCTCATCAGAGGGGTTCAGAGCCCTCACTGTTGGGGACTCGCCCCACGGGACAACGGATGTGCATCTCCACCCACGGGAGGGTCAGTGGACACAGGCTCTGCCCAGCGCGCCTGCCTGTGGAGGGAAATGATGCGAGGGCACCCAGGGCCGCCCCTGCAGGAGTCCTCACAGCTCCTGAGGCCCCGTCCCAGGAAGGCTCTGGATCACACCGACGGCCTTCACTCCCGCCGCCCCCACTGGGCCCTCGCCAGCAGATGCCCAGTCCTCACTCATTAGCTGGAACTGATCCTGCCCCTCCCTCTACCTCCCCCAGGCAGGACTGGAGGTGAGAGCCGTGCCCCCGGGAAAGGTCTGAACAGGTCTAAAGCTGCCTTCCCATCACTGAAGCAAAACAAGGTGACAGTCACTTCTCTCAGCTCACTCCTCCGAGGGTCCCACGCTCAGGGCAAGAGAGACCGATGTCGGAAGCTGACCCCTGAACACATGCCTTGGGGCAGGGCCCCGCCTCTGGGCGTGGCCCCGGGCTCCTGCTCAACAGCGTCGGGGAGCCAGTCACAGGGAACCCCACCTCTGAGGCACTGGGCCCAGAGAGGGCCGTGGACAGGCCACTTCCAAGGAGAACCTTGGTGAGGACAAGCATGCAGGGCTCCATGATTCAGACGCAGCAGGACAGGTGAGGCCACAGCAGGACCAGGGCCATGGGCAAGGCTGACTGTGGGCAAAAGGCCGGGGAGGGGGCGGCCCCCGAGCAGCAGGTGGGAGCAGCCCCACTGAGGGCAAGGGCTTCGTGTGTGCTTGGGCGCGGCCATGCACCACCTAGCCAGCCTCTGGGATTCAGTGTCGGCCTGACCGACAGCAACAAATTGAAAAAGGGCTTGAGTCCCTAGCTGGAGCGAGACAGAGGTGAGACTTGATGACACTCACACAAAGTCTGCAGGCCGTGCCTGACAGCAGCCAACCCTGGGTCTCCGCAGAGGCCGAGGAGGAGCTGACCGCGGCCATGCCACCCTGGAGCCCAGGACAGTGGGAGGACTGGGCCGGAGGAAAGACGCATGTCCTTGGGTCGGGTTACGGTCTGGGAGCAGCACATGCCGAGGGTGTCTGTGCTGAGGGGTCAGGAGACTCTGTCCAGCCCAGCGCCCTGTGTCCCTTCTCCACGTCATGGGGAGAGGCTGGCGGGTGAGCGCATCAGAGGTGGGGAGGGTTCGGGGCGGATCTCAGTCAGCTCAGCAGGAACCGGTGGTGCTGCCACCGCTCAGGCAAACCCAGGCCCCGCGCAGGCGCTCGCAGCCTCGGTCCCGGCTGGCTTCACTCTCTTCGAGTCACAGAGGGCCCCACAGAGACCGTTCCACGGGTTTTACCTACAAATGACTGCCCTGTAAGAAACTAACGCAGTGAGAAATTAAAGATGCTTATTAAATGCACTGAAAGTCATAGCAAACTCAGCATGCCAGCATCCACAGCGAGCTGCCCTGCTCCCTGTTGTGGGCCACTCTGCACGAGGCGGGCACTTGACCACCACCAGCTGCCTGACCACGCCTGGTGGGCGCACGTGTGGCCGGAGGTGGAGAGGCGGGCACTCAGCCTCCCCCGGGGCCCCAGGCTCTGTGCTGGGCCGTCCCTGGAGAGACCCCTCCAGGCGCAGGGCTCCCGTGGACTTCCCATGGATCACCACTGGGGGCAGCTCTGGCCTCGGCGCCTGGCCTGAGAGAGGTCCTCCACTTCGACTGAGGCAACAGAGGCAGTCCTGCCCAGCGCTCACCTCGCACTGATGCTGAGTCCCAGGGCCTCCCGGGGCCCCTGGCCACCCCGGCACGAGGGGTCAGCCCTGGCCCGGCTGGTGCTCTTGGCAGAGCCAGAGAGCGGCCTCCCAGGGACGGGACAGTCCCCCAAGCTGGCTGACCATGGTCTCCAGGCCCACAAGCCCACGGTCCTGTGAGCAGCAGTGCCCAGGACGGGCCTCAGCCACAGTCGGCCCCTGCCGCTGCCCTACTTGGCCTTACCCCGAGGGCAAGTGGCAGGCGGCCAATGTGGGGTCTGCACCTTTAACAGAAAGATAGGGGAGTGCTGTCCAATGACATCTAGTGAGGAATGCCCAGCATTAAGGCTGGGGATGGAGCAACTGTGCAAGAAGCAGAGATGACGTGCAGGCACGAGGGGGTAAGGAGAGGACGCACAGGCACGAGGGGGGGTCAGGAGAGGACGCGCAGGCATGGGGGGTCAGGAGAGGATGTGCAGGCATGAGGAGGGATCAGGAGAGGATGTGCAGGCATGAGGAGGGGTCAGGAGAGGACGTGCAGGCATGAGGAGGGGTCAGGAGAGGACGCGCAGGCATGGGGGTCAGGAGAGGATGTGCAGGCATGAGGAGGGATCAGGAGCTAACACGGAGGCACAAGGGATCAGGAGAGGATGTGCAGGCACGAAGGGTCAGGAGAGGACGTGCAGGCACGAGGAGGGGTCAGGAGAGGACGTGCAGGCACGAGAAGGGGTCAGGAGAGGACGTGCAGGCACGAGGAGGGGTCAGGAGAGGACGTGCAGGCACGAGAAGGGGTCAGGAGAGGACGTGCAGGCACGAGGAGGGGTCAGGAGAGGACGCGCAGGCACGAGGAGTCAGGAGAGGACGTGCAGGCACAAGGTGTCAGGAGAGGATGCTCAGGTACGAGGAGGGGTCAGGAGAGGACGTACAGGTACAAGGGGTCAGGAGAGGATGTGCAGGCATGAGGACAGATGAGGAGAGGACGCGCAGACACTAGAGGTCAGGAGAGGACGTGCAGGCACGAGGAGGGGTCAGGAGAGGACACACAGGCATGAGAGATCAGGAGAGGATGGGCAGATACTAGGGGTCAGGAGAGGACATGCAGGCACAAGGGGTCAGGAGAGGATGTGCGTGCACGAGGAGAGGTCAGGAGGGGAATGTGCAGGCACTAGGAGGGGTCAGGAGAGGACGTGCAGGCACAAGGAGGGGTCAGGAGAGGACATGCAGGTACGAGGGGTCAGGAGAGGATGTGCAGGCATGAGGACGGATCAGGAGAGGACACGCAGGCACTAGGGGTCAGGAGAGGATGCACAGTCACAAGGAGGTAGGAGAGAGTGTGAAGAGAGGGCGTCAGGAGACACTTTGTCAAGAGTCAGCCCGCTGCCTGGTGTCTGGACGCCTCAGGCCCACCTTCCAAACCCAGAGCTAGGGCCCAGCCCTCAAACCCTGAGGCAGCATGGGCGTCTTGATCGAGCAGCCACTGTTTCACACCCGCAGACATGGGAACAGTGCCCGGCCTTCCACAGTGGGGGTGGACATGGACTGGGCTCCCAACCCACCTCCATGGCCAGGGGACTCACCTGGGAGGTCTCCTTGGCATACTTCCTGCACAGACTGTCTATGCCCATGAAGAGCGCCTGGATGTCGGAGTCTGTCTGAAAGAAAATGCTGCTTCTGCCAATGCTGCCTCCAGGGCCCGGAGGTCCATGCGCTTCAGGGCCGAGACCCGGCTAGGACGCTGTCGCAGCGGCTTCCTGGGGCCCCCGAGGACACCTTGGTGTGGGCGAGGGGCAGCGCCACCTCCTAGGGACCAAGGGTGGCGCTGAGGAGTTTCGGGCAGCTGCCGGGGTTGGGGCAGCCGGGTACAAAGGAAACGGTGGAATCAGAAGCAGGAAGAGCAACGGGCACAACTTCTAACTCTCACAAGTATGTGTTGAGTTACTTGAGCGTAAACGTGACAAAAGACGGTTTATGAACTGGCACCTGCCCACCGGCACGCCTCCTGCAGGCACTCCTGCCTCCCCTCTCCCCTCGTCAGCACGAGAGGCACAGAGGGCGCGGACAAGGACACACATGGGCCTGTCCCCGCTGAAATGAGTCACGCTGCACTCGGAAAGAGGTCCGCAGAAGAAACCAGGAAGCACTTGAAGGGTCAGGGCCCCAGGAGCTGCTGGAAGACCTTGTGGCGGGGAGGGGGCAGCTGCTTCATTGGAGAGGGGGCAGCTGCTTTGCGGGTGGGGGCAGCTACAGGGGAAGCAGCCCCAGACTCCTCTCAGAGAAGGGGCTGGGAAGGGCACTGGCAGGGCAGGGGGCCTGCTGCAGGCGCTCCAAGTACACGCGAGCCCCACACTCAGATCTCCACCCGAGACCCTGGACAGCACCCGACGCCCTGAGCCCCGTACTTCAAAGGAAACAGGACAGAAGCCTGCCCCCACCTCCAAGGGCCCCGGTGAGCCCTACACACAGAGGCAAGGGCCCCAGTGATGAAGACCGGATTGATGCCCACTAAGGACCAGGCCCCACAAGGAGACCTTCCCGGGCCCTGGGGGAGGCGAGGGTGTCGGTGCTGACCTGCCAGGGCCCAGGGCTTCCCTGAAGGGAAACAGGGATGGGGAGCCCCAACGGCACAGAAGGGGCCTGCACTCCCTACGCACGAAGGAGGAAATATTAATAGAAAAATTCTGAGTGTTATTTCATTTAATCTTTTCAACAATGCAATGAGGGCCCCAGAGCAGATGGGAAAGGGACCTTTCCAGGAGCCCACAGCTAGGACGAGAATTTGCTCTGGGTCTGCCAAATTCCAGAGCTGGGCTCACACTAAGACACACTGGTTACTCCCTAGAAGCTTATTATGGGAGAACAGTTCCTCCAAGTGTGGACCATGGGATATTAATATGCGTTCCTTGAAAAAGGGTTCTGTCGCAAATGCATTTGAGAAGCCCTAGGTGGAGGAGGTTTAATGAAGTGATGCACTCTTTCTATTTTGAAGACAATGTGGTGGTCAAGAACCCTGGCTGGCTTGGGAATCAGTCAGACTTGGGTTCTCAATGCCTCTCTGTCTCTCTTTTCGTTTGTGATGGTTAGAAAGACATTTTGCACCACCACCCTACCCTCCCACACCACCAGGCCTCACTTTTCCCCACTTCTAGGAATTTATGCTCCAGAAATAGTCTTACAAGTATGTAGAACTATGGTAATAAAAAAAATGTTCATTTTAAGACTGAAATAGTAAAAAACTGAAAAATCCCAAAGGTTTTTTCCTATCACACCAGGAAGTCATTTTTAGAGAATGTGGGTGTGTACACTTTAGAACATGTAGTGTCAACTGGGAAATACCACTTTGTTAAAATCCCACCAACACCCAGAGCAGGGCCCACACTCCTGGTTGTTGTCCTTGGAAAACAGGAGTTGGGGACTTTCACATTCTGTTATGGTTTTCTGTTATGTTTGAAGTTTGAGGTAATTTTATGTTTGTAATCATAAAAAGAACTTTTACAGATTAAACATCAGATCAAATACACATCTTGGGACCTAAACTTGAATGGATCAACTTTACCCTCTTAACTAGAATGGACCCCAAGGAGACCAACCCCACCACCATGAGGAGCTGCAGGAACCAGTGCCCCACGCCCATCCCCAGACGCCCCACGCCCGTCCTCAAGCAGCACTCAGGCTCTGGTGAGGGAACAGCTGTGTGAGGTATTCAGAACCACTAGTGGACTTTATACAGAAAGTCTGCATGATCTCCTAGCACACCAAGCAAATCAAAGTAAAAATTGAACATCACACTTTTAAAAAAATCACTGATTAATATTAATATACTATAGACTTCTACTTACATGTTTTGAAAGTAGAATTGTACGACAAGCAACTTTACAAATCAAGCATTCATCCCTTTTACCTACAAAAGAAAGCACACTTTATTACAGTGAACAGTGCTTTTAAACATATATAAATGCAGACCTTAAATTACAGTACTTGTAAAAGTATACAGGATTATAGCACTTACCGTGGAAAAGCCTGGGGGCATGCACATAGCTGAAAAGACTTACACAGTAACAATCCATTTTTTCTTGTTATCCAAATATGCTCCAAAACAGTGGCCATACAGATCAACAACTCTTAAACTTAGATCAGCCCAGATTATTTCCAAGCATATTTTATAGAAATAAAATGGGGATAACTTAGCTGAAAATTTTAAACACTACAAAATGAAAGCTCCTCCCCCCAACCTGACAGCTCCAGGGTTTTGCTCTGCAGCTTGGCCTTGGCAGCAGGGCTCCTGGGAGGGCCAGGCCGCTGAGGGGCTGAGAGCCAGAGCCGAGGTGGCTAGTCCCCTGGCCGCCCCGCCCATGCTCGGCCTCCTCCCACCCACCCCTCCTCCACTGCCTGGCCCTGGGCCCCGCAAGGCTCCCCCTCCTCAGCCCCCTCGCTTCCAGCTCCTCTCTGGCCCTGCCCGGTCCTCACAGCCTCTGATCTCGTTTTCTCCACAAGGCAGCTCGGAGGCCAGGTGTCCACACCTGGCTGCCCCAGGTCTTCCTAGGCAGCGCCAGTGGCCCAATCCCAGGGCTGTCCCCTCCACAGTCATCGCCTGAGAAAGAGGCCCCATGAGGCCCACACCAGAGCTGATGAGCTCGCCCCCCTTCCTGTGTCTTGAGGGGACGCCTCCCCTTCCCCACCCCAGGCCTAGTCTTTCAAGGGAGGGCTCACCTCCTCTCCCACCCATTGCCTCCCACAGACCCCCTAAGCTCTGCCTCCGCCCACCCTCTCTCCTCCCAGCACCCAGACAGTCCCCCTCTCCTCTCCACAGGGCACTTAGGCAGGTAATCCTCAGGCCGGTGCCCTGACTGCCTAGGAGGCCTGGTTTGATATTTTGGTCTCTCCCCGCCCCAGCCTCCTCCTGCCCTCACCCAGCTTCTTTAGGAAACGCTCTGTCCCAGGTGAGAACAGGCTTGCGTGTCTCCTGCCTCCCACCCTCCCCTCTCCAGCCCCTCCAGTCCCCTCCCCACTGCACTCCGGTCTGGACCACCAGACCCTTGTGTGCTCACAACCCTTTGCAGCCTCCCTGCACGGCTGGCCCCGGCACCTCTTTTCCAAATGTGAGGTCCTAAGCCTCAGCTCAAACCTGCTGTCTCCCCTGGTACTCTGGATGGCCAGGGGGGCCCCACCCCCAATCTGGCCAGCTGCCGCCCAGACTCAAGTCTGCCCAACATGAGCCCTGCTTCTGTCCAGCCCTGGCGGCTGTCCTGCTTAGACACGTCTCCCTGTGCTGGGCTCCGCTTCCTCCCAGAGTGCTGCCTCCCCTGCCCCCATCCTGCGTCCTCCGGCTGCCAGGATCCATGCTCAGCCAGCCCACCTGGGCACACGCCTCTGCCGCCCCAACCCCAGAACCTGCGAGCCCAGCACCAGCACGCCTGTGGCACCACCACGACAGACAGAGCCTGGAGGAGCCCGAGGGCCAGTGGTGAGCTGGGAAACATGCCAGGCCGGAGCAGGTGTGGTGGGGAAGGGGTGCGAGGGGCAAGCGTGCACCGAGGGTCCTGAAGGGAGAGGCCCAGACACGGGCCCGCGAGGGGCGGAGTGTGGGGTGAGCCTGGCACTGGCTGGAGCCCCTGCTCACGGCTGCNGGGGGGGGGGGGGGGCGGCAGTGATATTCTGATTTCCTCATCTGTGAGCTGGTATCACAGGTCAGTCACTCTGTGAGAAATCTCTGCATTTTCATTTAGGCTTTTTTCCTGCCTGAGCTCTCTAGGTCAATAAAAACACTTCAGAAACAGAGAATGTCTGTCAAGGTGGGGCCACAGGCGTGGGTGAGGGGCTCGCAGGTCCTGGGGTGGGGGTCGGATCACACCTCACAGCCCCGCAGACAGCCCGGCCCCCTCCCCTAGCTTCAGGCCCTCACACGCACCGCCGCCTCTGGGGACCGCTCTGCACCCGCCTCCCCGTTTCCCGCCCCAAGCCCGTCGGGCTCCAAGGGGCAGGTGGGACTGAGGTGCAGGGCCCCGCGCGGCCCACTGTGCCGGCGGCCCCGCTGCGCCAGCCCAGAGGCGTCCAGGAGACGCGAGCCCGGGCCTCTTGGCCGGCGCCCTGGCCCTGGTGCCGCCAGCCCTCCCCCAAGAAGCCCTGCTCCGAAGGCCCTCCCGCTCGCCTCAGGGCGCCTCCTCCTTGTGTGGCCACCGCCCAGGAGCCCGGCTGCCGGCCAGCGCTGCCCGCCCCGCCCTGACCTTTGCGCAGGCAGACGTCACAGTACACGTGGCCACAGTTGGTCAGGCTGAAGCACGACGTCGCCTGGGGCGGCTGGAAGCAGCGGTTACAGAACACCCAGCTGGCCATGTCTGGCCCAGGGCCGTGCCGCCGCCGCCGCGCGAGAGCCACGCGAGACCTGGACGCGGGATCTGCGCCTGGCCCGAGGGCGTGACTCCGCGCCTGCGCGCCATAGTTGTGCCGCCCCCTCCAAAACGCGCCCCGGAAGGTACCAAGGCAGGAAGGGACAGGGTGAGGAATTACACTTTGCCGTCTGTGGGTTGTCTCGGCCGGACGTAGGGGAGGAGGAACGTGCAGGTGGGGACCCAGCCGCACTCACTCCGGCGCTGCAATCCCCAGTGATCCTCCTGAGTGCAGTGCGCGGTACTCCAGGAGCCATGTGGACCCCCGGGCGGTGCCGAGGTGCGCGGAAGCCGCCGAGTCTCAGGGACCCTCACAGGAGGCAGTGCCTGGGCGAAGGGTGGAGCCGGCCACGGGGAGACGTGACGTGTGCCGGCCTTGAGCGCGCTGCGCTGAGCTGACGGGCCAGGAGGCCCTTGTGCTGTGGTGGCGGTGGGGAAGGTGAGGGGACTTGAGGGCTGCAGACTGGAGGTGGGAGGGGAAGGGGCCCTGGGCCACGAGGGACCAGTGGGGTCAGAGGAACAGGAGGTGGGGGTGGGGGGACACCTTGGGGTGGGGTTCTAGGAGATCGTTGGGCCAGGTTGGGGCGCCAGGAGGGCTTGATGGATCAGCGTGGGGTGTGACTAGGGCCCAGGACCAGCTGACCCGGTCACATGGCAAAGCTGGGCCAGGCGAGCCAGGGCCTTGCTTGCCTCTGGCGTGGGCATATGAAAAGTCTTGACCTAGAGAAGATTGTTTTCCATTTACAAAGATATAGAGGAGCTGGTGGAAAGGACTGTTCTGTTTTTTGTAGCCTCTAATGAACTTGTAATTAGAATTTAGAGAAGGACTTTCCTGAGCATCTAGTGGTTGAGACTGGGCTTCCAGTGCAGGTGATGTGGGTTCTGTGCCCAGTTGGGGAACCAAGATTACACATGCTGTGCAGTCCAAAGGAAAAATAAAATTAGAGAAAATGAAGGGAAGCTAACTTCATATTATTTCAAACGTCGTGGAATGCCCCACACTCTCTGTAGAAGAGCCGTTTCCATCGCCCTGATCCAGGTGGAGGGGGATCAGGTGGGACCTGCGAAGCAAACTTGGTTCAGAGGAAGTCTCTGTGCAAATGGAGAAAAGTGGCCTTCTTCCAGGGAAACAGGAAGACTCAGAGATTCAGGATGACTGACGAGTGCGTTAGGGAAAATATGTACCCCTCTGTCCCAGGCTGCAGCCGGGAGCCTCCTCTGGCCATTGGACCTTGAAATGGGACTCGGTCCAAGTTGAGATATGCTTTGATTGCAAAATACACCTGAGTTTCCAAGACTTCTTATCAAGAAAGAAAAGTAAACTATCTCATTAGTAATTTTGTATTGATTACATGTTAAAATGGTAGTGTATTTGATGTATTAGGTTAAGTATATGTCACTAGTGTTAATTTTACTCTTTAAAAAACCTTGTTTAATGTGGCAACCAGAAAAATTAAAATTTACATATATGGCTCACATTTTATTTCTGTTGGACAGGGCTGATCTATTCCAAGTTTAAGAACAGAATCATGTGTTTATTCTGTCAAACTCAGAAGCTGTATTGTTAGTGACATTTTATCAGTGTTGTTGTTCAGTCTGTTGGTCATGTCTGGACTCTGTGACCCCATGAACTGCAGCACACCAGGCTTCCCTGACCTTCACCAACTCCCAGAACTTGCTCAAATTCATGTCCATTGAGTCGGTGATGCCATCCAACCATCTCACCCACTGTTGTCCCCTTCTCCTGCTTTCAGTCTTTTCCAGCATCAGTCTTCCAATGAGTCAGCTCTTCGCTTTAGGTGGCCAAAGTAATGGAGCTTCTGTTTCAGCATCAGTGGTCCTTCCACTGAATATTCAGGGTTGATTTCCTTGAGGATTGACTGGTTTGATCTCCTTGCTGTCCAAGGGACTCTCAAGAGTCTTCTTCAACACCACAGTTCGAAAGCATCGATTCTTCAGCACTCAGCCTTCTTTGTTGTCCAACTCTCACATTCGTACGTGACTATTGGACATTTTATCAGTGTTACAATGCTATAACATCAATTCCAACCTTAGATGTCTTTGAAATCAGAAAATAATGCATACTTATGAATATATTTTATTAACTCAAACATTATGCAAGGTAGAAGGTAATCATTTGCCTTTACTTTTTATTTATTTTTATACAAGTTTCTTAGCTATAAAGAAGTCTTTAAGGGACTTCATTTGGAAAATTCCAACTGAGATAAAGATTAACGTTTGTGTAAATGCCCACCATAAGACGTTGCTGTTTGTATCTTCACTGGTCATTCGAAATTTTTCTTCACGGTCCTATATAGAAGAGGAATATTCAGGTTAGGTTTCTTAAGGCGCTTCATGCATGAATTTGAGGGGAAGGTGCTATATATATTCAAGGTACTTAATGTCACCCAGGTAATATCTTATGCCAAAGAGCAGTATCTGATTTTTCTGAGCTAAGGTGTGTTTTTAGCCAAAGATAAGGAGGGGGCGTCAACCTTATAAAACATACTTTGATATTTTGGTGTAAAATATCAAGTATTTGACCTGTTACTTTATATGTTTTATTTGTTAGCATCAAAGTGTATATTGCCTAATTGATACTTTTTTTATCGTCCCAGTTCTTACTTTACTTTAAGCTGGGCACTGCGCTCATTTTATTTTCCAGATAAGGAAGCTGAAGCTTAGAGACAACAGAAGGTTAGTGAGTGGGGAGAGATTCAGGCGCCCACATCCAGGCAGGGAGGGTCCACTGAACACAGTGACCTGGGAAACACACAATGTCACAGGAACAAAATAATGCTGTAGAAAGTGGGCACCCTCGACTGCAGATGCACAGGGTGTGTTGGAAGCCCTTATTTATTCATCTGTGAGCTCACACCCCTGAGGCGAGCGAGCCACAGTCCCTTTCCTAGAGAAGCTCATAGTCTAGCAGACAGCAGAAGAGTACCCCCACCGACCCTGCACATCCACACAGTCCTGGAGAAACCTAGGAAAGAGGCAGTTTTCTCTTTCCCTGGTTCAGGGGCTCAGTCAAGAATTATGTTCCTGGCAGGAAGAGGGGGTGTAAGCTGATTAGGCAGACTGACCCTTTGATAGTTCTGTTCTTTGACTATTTGCTCAATTTGCTCGATTAGATGTTCAAGCTTGAAGCTAACTTCATTAACTTTGTCCTTTGCTTGAGTAATGGCTGCATCAAGGTCATGTTCTCCGACTCGAATATCTAAGTGGATCCGCTGTACAAACAGTAAAAGGGAGGAAACGTGTTTTCATGTGGCTCGCTCATTTTCCTTGTTTTTCCCTCATTGTGTCCTACCAGTCCTTCCTTTTTCTCCAGTGCCCCAACCCCCGCACCTTTCTGAGAGTAAATACTCCTTCATTCTCTTTTTGCTTCACTGCCGCTCCATTCCAGGTTATACTCAGGAGTCTTTCATTGTCACAATAATGCATTAAGTGGTACCTGCTGCCCTGAAAGAGCAACTACACCTTCCTGAGCTATGTCCTCTAGAGTTCTGGGCACATGCCTTTGGCCCTGAGACAATTGGATTACTCTCAGGAAAAGGTTCTCTACATACAACTAAATTTCTGATGCTAACATACAAATTCTCCATCTGTTCTCACAACCTTTAGAAAATATCCAATCACCATCTACCGTGTAAGAGTTTCATTTATTGGAATTCCATTATTAATTCACCCTTCAGCCTTCAATTGTTTTCAAGCCTGAATAATCACAGTTCTTAACCTTCCCTCCCAGTTCTCATTTTTCAAGCCCTTTAATCAACTTCGTGGCTCCGCTTTGAACCCCTTCCAAGCTCTCCAGCTCCCTCTTTAGTTGCTGTTCTAAGATCTGGGTGCAGGACTTTAATATAGCCTGGACGTAATTATTCTGCATATCATTGTCACACCTGAGTAATGCTGACGCTGTTCATGTGCAAGGACATGAGGGCATTTACTTACCAGCTTACTCCCTCCAAATGACACAAGCCTTGTAGAATTAGATTGTAAGCAAATGATGTGTTCACCAGGTGAATGTGAAGTGAAATAGAATGTTCCTTGTGGGCCATATAACTTTGACAATAATACCTAGGATTAAGGATTTCCATAGTTTAAATTTATCATTCTCTATATTCCATTAAAAAAAATTAAACCATCCCTATGTAACCTAGTGAAATTTGTGCAGTTCTTAAAGAAGAAATCAAATTACCAATAACAAGAAAAATATTCACTCTTTC